ATATTCCACTAAAAATGAAAGAAAAAACCCAGAGGTGTCAATGTGACTCAGCTGTCTAAACACAACACAAAACTGCAATGTTCTCACTTCAAATCAATAATTCCTCACATCATCTCCTCATCTCTTTACCCTGTTACTTTTCACTGTAACACTGGAATGACATGAGTGCAAGAGTTTTTCCTCATGTTCTTGTCAGTTAATAAGAACACACATTATTTAATTAGTATGACTGAATATAGAAACTGAAGAGAGAGACTAAAGAGACATGAAGTGGAGAGAAACATCCATAACAGGAAGGCAGAGGGAAGATAGAGAAAGGGCGATGGCAGAGAAACCATGTGTGAAAAGTGGACAAGATAAAAACAGATTTTTAGATGGAGAGAAATGCAGGTGAGTGTTCAAGTACAGGAGAGGGGTGAATAGGTGAGAAGTTGAATGCTGAGTAACAAGGGATGAGAGGAATCTGGAAGAAAGGATGTGGTACTCAACAACAAAACTGAATTGAGGCCCAGTGGAGGAGAAGGGAGATAGATCTAATCTGATAATGACAGAGAAGCGGGAGAAGAAAGAAAGAAAAAAGAAAGAAAAAGAGAAGCACACTGATGGTGGTAAACAGAAAGTACTGTGAGATGAACGACATGAGCAGAGAGAGAAATCAGGGAGATCAGGGAAACGGGGAGAGAGAAAGGTATAAATGTCAGTTAAACCAGATAACATCATTGTGATCTGCAGCGACTCTGCAGCTGCAACCTTCTGCACAAATGTATATATACTGTGTGTGTGTGGGTACATGTGTGTACATGTGTGTACATGTGTGTAATATGTCATATTCTGAGAGTGAGATCTTTATTGAACAATGCCTTTCATTTTGCACATCGCGTCTCATGGAGTCTGTGTGTGTGTGTGTGTGTGTGTGTGTGTGTGTGTGTGTGTCTGGTGTGTGAGTGTGTGCGTGTGTAAAACCATCCAACGATAAAAAAAAAAGACAAACTGACGATTCTTACGCCGATCATATATATAAGCAAATATGGGCTGGCACCATTTGGCAGGTACTGCAAAATTAACATGCATGTAATGAAACATGTAGGAGGCTTTCTGGTGCAGTCATCATACATGAAAACACTTTTACATGCACGAGCAGAAAGATGTTACACACTGTCGCAGCACTCAGCTTTGACCCCTCCAACAACCGCAAGCTGTTATTTTTACATTTCTGTTTACGTGAGGGTTAAAAAAACAACAGAGTTGTACAGTTGTAACCTTTGAGTCTAGTTGGTATAAGTATGAGTTTGGACATCTAGCTGTTTACTATTGCTTCCCGTCTTTATGCTAAGCTAGGCTAAACACACCCAGCTTCACAGAATCAATATTTTATTCATTTTTTAATTTGGTTCACTTCCACCACATCAGTATTTTTCCAGCAGCAGCATGAAGCTAGTAATAGCAATAAAATGTCAAAAAACACCAAACAGCAGCCACAGTCAGCAACCAGTAAGTGTAAGACATGTAAGGGACAAATAGGTCCCTCAGGAGCTGGTAAAGAACAAAACAACTAAGTTAATTTTTGACTTACATTCTCCAGGTTGCCAGAAACACAACTCTGTTTTTATCTATTAACAATTTAAATGATAATTCCAGTTTACACCAACTTGGGCCTTATTTGTTTAGTTTGCAATATTTCCTTTTTGCCATAGTAGCGCTATAAAATCAGGCTAATTGCTAAATTATGGAAAGTTGGCATCGTTGTTAAAACAGCTGGATTATAAGGGCTTTATCCATTGATCATATATAAAGATTGACGCCATTTCTCTATGTCCTCCCATTTTACAAAACTGAAGCCAAAATATCTTGGATATGTGCACTACCATCTTGTGGTTTTGATGTCATTTGATGCTAGATTCTGTGGCGTAGAGATAGTAGTGTGGGACTTTGGTATCTCTGTCCCACCTGCACACTCTTGACTAAAGTCAGTTTCACCTCATTTTTTTTTATTATTAAAGTATTTCAGATTTTTCTGTGCAGTGAAGACATTATCAAGATCAAGAAGATCCAGAAATCTTTAGGCTATTGCCTCGAGGGGCAATTTATTGTACAGCCAGCAGTCAGTGCATGACAAAACAAACAATCAATAAATGCAATGTAAAGAAATACAATATAAAAATCACATGAACTCATTTAAAAGGCCAATGACAGCAGGGAATAATAAGCTATTGAATGAAGTTGTATTCACATTTTGTCTGACTTCCTAATAGATTAGCTTGGATTGTCTGACTCAACCTTGTTGGCTTTTTCAAAGCTGTCAGACCATCTGATCACAATTTTACTCATCTCAGCAGATATTGTAGTGAGAACAATGTTACAGCAGTCCAAAGAAATGATGGCTTAAACAATAAAAATTAGACTGATGCTGTAATAAACCAGAATTATCACATAAAGATGTGAGCTGCTGTTGGGTAAAAATGTAAATTATTACGATCCAGACTCAAGTTATTAACAACAGTGATTTTTGGGTCAAATCCCAACATCACCTCCCACAGCCAGCTGTGATTCCCACCCATACCTACACAGAACCCTCCCTTAACTCCTAACTTCATTTAATCAAAAGGAATTATTTCTCAAAGAGATTACGGGAAGACCATTTTATCTCTCCCTCTATCTCTTTCTCTATGTCGGCCTTACAGTGGTTCCTCTCAATCTCTTCTTCTCCCGTCAGTATTAGTGTGCCTGTCACGTGTGGCAGCCACATAGTGCGTGGGTGGATGACTGACTCCATATGTGAATGTAACATCAAACTTGTGAGCAGAGACATGGAGCTCTTTTATCAATGAATGCACAACAGCCTATGCAAACACACACATGCAGGTGCATCATGTGTGAATGTAGTTGGGTCCCTTCCTTTGTGTGTCTTGATACACAGCAGCTGCCTGTTATGGAGTGATTACCAGTCTATCAGTCTCTGAGTATGACAGTGAATAAGCAACAGCCATCTAGTTATTGATCCAATGATGGTGAGGCTGAATCTCCAAGCAGAATTCATCAGAATCCCCATCACAGACCTGCTGGACCTTTAATAGACATTTCCAGCAACATTCAAGCTGTGATGTAATCCAAAAAAAAAAAGTTGCAGCACTAAACTAATATGTGGTTAGATGGATGAGTGTGGCTCCATGGTTTAGCTGGTGAGAGTAATAGCTGGTGTTGGGACACTCATTGGGTCTGATATCCGCAAGGCTCCCATAAATAGTCAATGTGCATCGATTGTAAATGAATACCTTGGCTAAATGACTGTGGTACCATTATATTAGTGAAATGACAAACAGCAAAACAGATATCACAAAGCATGAAAGCATTTTCGATTGATTGCTTCAGCCTTACAAGAGCAGGTGTGTTTGCGTACCTTGCGTGTGTGAGCATTACAGTGTTTGCATGCTCTCTATGCATGTATTGAATTACAGGATTGTTTTGCAGAGTGTGTATTTCACACATGGTGTGTATCCACTTGATGCAAAGCCATGTAGACTGTTTTGTCAAACCCACAAAGACCCTCATTAATGTCATTAATTGGGTCTAGCTGACACACACCTGGGTCCCCTGATCTATCTCTGGAGCCCAAGGGACGACAACATAATATGTGCACTATGAGCTCAGATGTGCTTCTGCTTATTTAAAGAAACCACCTCTAAACAAAATTCAAAGAATGGTTGCTATTTTGGGAATGCATATCTTTGCCAAGAATGAGATGAGACAACACCACTCCCCCACTATATTTCTTCAATGAATATGATGCTACTGACAGCAGCTGGTTAGCTTAGCCTAGCTTAGTGTAACAAAATGAAACAAGGGGGCCTGACTGTCCAAATAAAAAGATCTGCTTATCAGCACCTTGATAGCTCAACATAGCATCAAATCATTGTTTCAAACTGAGGAAGTATTTCTTGGAGTGGTGCAGTGAAGAGTGACACGAGAAGCTTAGAAGGAGAAACAATTTTTACAACAATGTTTACGTTAGCCAGCTAGCCATTGTTAGAAAAAAACTGTTCATAATAATACATTACGCAACATTTCAGGAATACTGATAACGTAGTAAAACGTCCACTGACAGTAATTGGTCAGTAGGCTACTATGTGTATGACACATTTAATGACAGAACTGCTAATAAACTGTAAAAACTACAGCTTTCACTGCTGTTGATGTACGAAGGGGCCATCTTAGACTTCGAAGTAAGGCGTGATGAGGTTCCTCCGACCTTCCAAATCAAAATTCCTACCAGAGGGGGTGTTCCAGTTGCAACTTCCTCCTCGGGGGTCGGATATATTCCAAAGTTTAATGGAACTCGGCATGAGGCTATAGCCAGTAGTAGGGTTAGCTTAGTTTAACGACCGGAAACAAAGGAAAACATCTAGCGTAATTCTAAACCAACTAAATCTGCCTATCAGCAGCTTTCATCATATCTCTTGTCCTAATGCAGTAACGAGTGAGATGAAATACTTGCTACAGCGGCTACACCATCTGGAAACAAGGAGAAACTGCTGGTCTGAGTCTGTTTAAGTGAACTAAATCATATTATGGTTTCAAAGTGGGTTATGTGAGGAACTATTTCTTGACCTGGTGCAGTGACTTCCTTCGGTATCAAAATAGTTTCACTTATAACACTTTGTAACACCACAGATTTTGAAATTTGAATTATACAATAGGTTTTTGTGCTGATTAAACAAACAAAAATTGTTAGATTTAGATGCACTGCTAGTTTTGTTACATTTAGACAGAGTAAATGTTTCTGTTTTCCTCTGTTTCCAGCCTTTAAGCTAAGCTGAGCTAATCGCCTTCCAGCTCCAACTCCATACTTCACACACAGACGTTAGAGTGGTATTGATCGTCTTCTCTGACTCTCAGCAGAGCAAAGCTATCAAAGCTGCCTAAATGTCGAACACCTTTCTGTGAATTCGTTTGAGTCAGTTTACTATACATCTACGTGTGGATGCATGCGTGCTGTATTTTACCTGAACTTCTCGTGCATGGTAGGCTATGATGAGTCCCAGCAGTATGACCGTCGACAGGCTGATCAGACACTTCAGGGCCAGAGAATACATGGAGCTCTGTGGAAAATAAATTAACACATCATGAAAATCATGCAGTGCAAACATAATGCATATTTCATATTGGTTTTGCCATGGTGATTGGATTAATATTCAGAGTACATTTGTGATGACGATAACACAATCTTAAAAAGTGATTGTCAAGATTCAAAGTCTGGTTTAACTTGCAGATATCCCAGATTTCAAACTATGTCCTACGTCCCTCCTCTGCTAGTATGGCATGTGTACAGTAGCGACACAGCCTCAGCATAGACAATATGTTTCTACATTTACAAAACAGACTCAAAGGGTGAACAGAAGTAGAATGGTAGTATCCCACCCGACAATATCTTTCTGCAGTCGAGCTTTAAATCCTCTACTTGTCTAGTTTCTAAGGGTTTATAATCAATGCACTGGGGAACTTCCAATCAATACAACTCATAGCACTTCAGTGGCTTCTTTAACCCCTTCACCCCACATACTCAGAGCACAGCTACTTGCTGGATTCATCGTACACATGTGCACACACATATATTCAAACACTTTTGTGTATTAACACATCTACACAACTACAACCACCTGATTAACATTAAAAAATATATTATTAAGTATTAGATTTCTTCGGCAGGTTTGAGGGCCTTGGGATTTTCCAAATCCATCAAACTTGGCAGACATGTCAAACCTGGTGAAAAGTGCAACGCTTTGTAGTGATTGGGCTGAAGTATGGCTCCATAGCTCAACACAAAGCAGGATCATGTTGAGATAAAGTTGCTTGAGCGGTCATGAAATTCAGTGGGATCCTTGCTCTCCACACTCTGGAAATAAAGAACATTATTTAATAGTTTATTTCTCAGGAAATCAGCTAATTTCGATTTCCTGTGGCGATGTTTGTTTACCCAAGAATATTTGGACACCAGGTCAGGAAACTTCGCACCAATGCTTGAAGTAGCAAATACTTCAATTTGTTAGTAGTACATTTCAGGTAAAATTGGATGCTTTATTCTCTGTCTTCTGTCTGGTATGGGTTAGACAGATATTCTAGCTCAGAAATAAGATTTTATCAGTGAATGCATTTTCGTGTGTCAATATTCTGTTTCATAAGCTCTCCCAACCTTTCAAGTGTTGGAAAATAAAATATTTTGTTCACAAATGAAGTATGTCAGGAATCAGCAGTCAAAGAAAGATGTTATTTTGACTCATTTTCTAAGCCTTACAAAAACAAAAATCTGTATTCAGTGCTGCTGTCTCTAAAAGCCACGCTGTCTAAATTGATTCATTTGTCCACATCAGTTCAAGGACTATGTCAGAATATAAATATATAACCAGAATTACCACATTACAGTTGTATGCCTGGCAAGTTGCAGGTAATATGGTTACAACTGCTACTGCTGTTGTCATTTGTATCTTGAAACATATTTTGTGACTTCAGAGGGAGTTTCATGTCTAAAGGTCTTATCAGTTCTTTCAAGTGGATATTTGTACTTTATGAATTGAAATTCCTTATGGGCATTCCTAATGTAGGTGAAGTCTCAGGGACTTGGACCTGTGACCTTTGCCCACAAAAATCTAATCAGTTCATCCTTGAGTCCAAGTGAACATTTGTGGCAAAACTGAGAAAAGGCGTTCCTGACAGATCACATTCATGACGATGATACATACAGACAGATGGACAGTCTGAATGGTGGGAAGGCATAAAAAAGACCCACAGTGCATTTGTTTTCAGGATCACTGAGTTCACGTTTGAGCCCAATAGCCTGGTGCCCTCTTCGAAGGAAGACCTGAGCCACCTTAAGACTGCAGCATCTCAAATGAGTAGTTCAGCTGATAAGCATTCATCACCAAACACTCTCTTGATCTGAGTGCGATCTCAGAATTTCTTTGATGACATTATTAAGTAGAATCTACATTGCATTTTGGGTTCATGAATTTATATTGCAAGTCAGCCTGCTGGAAAATAGAGTGTGTTAGTGTGTTATTGTGTCTACTTAAGGTCTCTGAAGATGCTTCATGGCCTTAATGTTATTAATTCTACATCATACAGGCACAGATACACACAGAGTCTAGTTTGTTAATACTCACTGGTGCATTTCTCTCTTGAGAATGTCCTATAATTATTAATATCTACAATGATTGGATATGAGACCGGGCACACCATCATACTATTAATATAACACATACAAATGCACAAATACACACACAAGAAGAAAATACAGTGAGTGTTGTTCATTTGTTACTTATATCAGTGTGGTTATGGGCCACTGCACAACAATGGAAAAATACCATCTAGCATTGGCTCTGCACTGATTTCCTCCATCGTCAGCCGGCCCACAGCTCTAACTGTCTTTTGGTCTTTATTCGCTCGTGCCTTGTTTTTCTGTCTCAGTCTGTCTCTCCTCTACAACCATCTCATTTGTAGTCACTGAAGCAAACTAGGTGCAATAGAAGCCAACATTGCTGTGCTAATGAGAGAAATGTAGACCTGGGTTTTAGCAGTGAATCTGTTTAAATACAAACTCACACTGGAGAGCTGAAATGAGATTTGCTCTGAGTTTACTTCCTCCCTCTCTCTGTTCTCACCTCTCTTACCGCGTTTACCTCCAGCTGTCTGTTGGACGAGCAGTTTTTTTCAGTTGTGCCCATCACATTGTCAAGAGCATTTAGTTTCAGCCTGTTTCCACTTCACTTACTCTACCTTTATAGCGAATGACTCGACTGTGACGGTGTGTGTGCATGCTTGCCTTCTGTTCATTTCAGGTTTTTTTTTTTAACTTCCCTACCAGTGACAGCTGCAGCTGGAGGCATTATGTTTTTGGGTTGTCCATGCATTTGTCCATTCGGCGGTACATTTGTCCATCCATTTTTGTAAAAGCAAGCATTCGGGAACGCCATTCAGAATTTCTTTAAATTTGGTAGAAAGATTAAGTTGGACTCAAGGATGGATTAATTATGTTTTGGTGATTATAGGTTGTTGTGACTCACAAAACACAGTTTTGACCTTGTGAACACAATATCTCCGTAAACACCTTGAGGGAATCCCTTCCAATTTAGCGGAAGGGATCACTCATATTACATTGTAAACTGATTTGATTTTTTATTATTCAATTATTTGTTGCTTGCTTATTATTGCCTACACAAAGGAGGTTATCTTTTCATTGCTGTTTGTCTGTCTGTAAGCAGTATAACACAAATACTGCAAAACCAATTTTCTTGAAACTTGGTGAAATGGTAGATGTCCCCCCCAGGAAGAACCCATTGAATTTTGACATGGATTCTAATCAGGAAGTGAATACAGCAACTTGTTATCACTGTACATAAAATTGCAAGATGGGCATTGTATTTTTGGTTTTTACATTTTCACTTTTTCAGGGACTAATTCATGGATCTTAATGAAAGAAAAATCAGGCAAATTTAGGCGACACATATTTATGATTCATTTGGTGCAGCTTGGATGAATTGCAGGGGACTGTTATGCCTTGGCAGTGGTTTTGTGCTCTGTTGGGCTATTCCAGTCTTATTTTGATTCCAGATATCTACATTAAAAAGCAGCGGAAGAGGAAAACATCAGATTTTTAACATAACGTTATCTACAGTGATAGTAGCCTTAATAAAAGGATTAAGATGTAGAGGTACAACTTGTTGGATAGTGTCCCTGCCATTTACTCTTTATGTTTGTAAGTGTATCTCCTTCCCTGTTTCTTTAAATAGCCAGCTTTTTATCAATGACTTTGTGGATAGCATGCAGAGATAATGACCGTTTTGAGCTTCTCAGTTCAATCAACACACACACACACACACACACACACACACACACACACACACCAGCCGAACATACTCAATTCCATCCAGACAAAGGGGAACACACATATTACCAGGTGCATCCACAAGCACCAATAAGACCGAGTTGAATACATAAAGACAAACACTCCACAGGACACAACATATACTCTGTGAAGTGAATGTTTATGTTACCAAGGATGATGCAAGTTCTAACACACTCACACACACACACTGACAGGGGTAGCCTCGCCTTGTCACACTGAAAGAAATGAGCATATTTGTACCTGTTAGTAGCAAGACCTGTGGGATCTACCGTCCCTTAGAAGCCTGTGATCTAGAAGATGAAGGGAGCAGAGTGGAGTAGAGGAAAAGAGTGGAAGAGGAGGAGGAGGGGGCGAGCGACGCAGAAGTGCTGAGATGGCTGATAGCGCCTTTAGGGAATATGGTGGCAGTTGGTGAGTTTAATTCCCAGATGATCCTCATGTACTGTATGATAAGCAGCACACAGTCACTGTAAGTGGCCCGGTGGAGAAAGCTCTGAAAAGGTCTCCCAGTAAATGTCTGAGAGAAAAGTCATAGACAGTGGGATGAGATCAGGGATGGAGAAGTGGAGGTGGCAGAATGAGGGATGTGGTGTAAGGCTGCTGGGATGCGATGGCCCCTTTGGGGAAATGGTGACGTGTTTAAAAACCATCCAGGCGAGGAACATAAACACTCATCATAAGTGAGAATCCATCCATCACAGGGCCAACATACAGACTTTCAACCATTCACACACACATTCACACCTATGAACAATTTATAGCGTCCTATGAACCTTCTCCCCTCACAGGAAGACATTGTGACATCTGTGGGAGGAAGTCAGAGAACCCAGAGCAAACCATCGCAGACGCAGGGAGAACATGCAAACTCCACACAGAAAGACCCCGGCCAATCCAGGATTCACCTTCCTGTGAGGTGCTAATCACTGCACCTCTGTGCCACCCTGGAGACGGGAATGAAAGTGAAAACTGCTGCTAATCTGTGAAATCATCAGTACTGTCTGGTGATGAGCAACAGACAGTAGGTGGTTACATGCAACCCCGTCCCTCTGCTCCTCCAACATTTAACACCCATCTGTGTGTGTTGAGGTGTCAAGAGTGTCTATTGACAGTGTGACAGGTGAAGTTGGGAACAGCTGTGCATTCCCTCAGAATAGCCATGTTCCATCAAGAATCCAAGTGGGAATTCAGATCTATTGATCTGACTGTGATAGGCCACATTCTAAGGTCCCAGGTGTCCCAGGGCTTCAGTAATTCTAAGATAGAGACACATGTCAGCCAACGCCCCCTCCTCTTTTAGCCTGTCCCTAATAAAATCAATAATAGAAGCACATAAAAGAGTTTTTTTAAAGAGGAACTCTGTTTACACTGCCGTTACCATTTCAAGTGCCAAGGTCCTGGGTCAGTGGCAGAGAGCAGGTGACACTGATCATAACTAGAGGCCACAGAACACAGAATCCAGTGTTTGACACTGTGAAGACACACTGTGAAGACGGACTCCTGAAAATTGTCTCAAGAAAAGTTATGGCAGCAATTAGAGAGCCTCTGTGTTCGATGGCTTTTTCTGTGAAAACTCACAATTCAGCCTTTGGGCAAATTGAATCATTTCACATTCATTCATTATTACACCATCCAATATTCTCTTTGTATAATCTATACTGGCTCAACAACATAGCACTGTGCAACAATTTACTGCCACTGTCTCGGCTGCTGAATATACAGTACATACGGTGCATGAGAAGAGCTTTTATCTGCAGATGAATGATCTCAGAAGTGGCCTTAATCATGGAATTTGTGTTTGTCTTAAACTTGACTCGTGTGGGATAGTAAGTGAATAGAGAGGCTTTAATACAATTAATGGAATATCTGAGCTGTAACCCCAGAGTGTGCTGCTGACACAGTAACAAATCTGTTTCAGCACATGAATATACACATGCTTACTCACTATATCCACAGGCATGAATGCTATGTCCTCCTCCTGTTAACCTCTCTCTCTTTATCCCTCCTTAACACACTCACAAACACACACATGCAACGTCCAACCCATCCTGTGTAGTTCCATACTTAGTGTTCATCTCTATTTTTGGGTGCAACATGGAGCAGCTGGACCTGCTGACAAAAGTGCAGGAGTGTTTGGTGGGCACACACACACACACACACACACA